CCTGGTGGAGATGGGCAGGGATTGCAGATGATCTCTATATTTTAGGAGCACTGTGCTTCAAATCTAGATGTGAGTACCATAAAGCCTCTTGCTACGTCCTGGGCAATGACTGAACTGCTCCAGAATCCTAACGCAGACCTCTTGTCTTTCGACCTCTGCATCTACCAGATGTTGCAGTGGTGTTTGCCCCTTAGGTGGCTACTGGGTCCAGATGCTGGGATATTATCTTTGCTAGGATCAGATGCTTGTGAATTCAAACATTTCAATGTTTGATGTGGTCTGAGGCATTGCAGATTCAGCCAGACCTTGGGCAAGATGTTGTTATGCCTTCTGAACACCCCGTCACAGCTGTAACAGGAGGCTGGTAATTTGTGAGCAAGGATGAAACCGTGGGAGGGAGGGTCATGGAGAACCTGAAGGGTGGCTCAGGTGTAAGGAGAGAGCTTACATTTAATTAAACACAATTAGCTGAGCACATGGAGGTGCACCTGAGGGCAGGAACCTGAGAGAAGGTGTGGAGGTAAAAGGGAAGGAGTGATGCCTGTGTGGGAGAACACAGATAAAAAGAAAGGAGTGCCTGGAGATCTGAGTATGTTTTAAGCTGAGAAGACCCTTTCTGGCTGCCCTTGTGTTTGTCTTCTTCATTATCACATGAGACTTGTCACTTTTACGAGGGGTTTCTTCTGGAGTTGTCACTGCAGTGTTTGCTGATACTGGCAACAGCACGGTGTAAGTGTATCGCAGATACTTGCATCTTGCAGAGCTGCAGAGGGAGGCAAGTTCTTAGGAGTCACTGCCTTCGGGGTGAAGTAGCCCAAGTATTTTGTGAGTTATCCCTGGTCTTCCTGATTCCTGTAAACCCTTTCCTTTGCATCTACACACAAGCATTGCCTTTTGCCTGGTGCCTCAGGCATGTTCTGTGTTTTGTTCCTCAGCAGAGATCCAGCAGTCCCCTACAACCGTGGGGCAGAGCGGCTCAAAGTCTCCCATTTTCTGGGTGAGCCCTGTACGCCCTGAGGGAGCAGGAGCAGCCTTGGGCCAAGTCACGATCTGAGGCTTGACAGGGGGGTTTCTGCTTTGGACGAGAGCTTACTGGTCCCAGTAGATATGGTATAGTGGGTTTTCTGGCTTCCCTGGTCTCTACCCTCTGCCGGTCTCTGGTTGTATTTCTGTGTGGGTCTGGCAGGTGACTGCAAGGTCTTTAGTGCATAGCCATTTCTCTTTTGAGTAGAGGAGGACTTTGGCCATAGTAGCTCTCGTTCCCTAGTCAGCTCATGTCAGGGAGAAAGAGCTGATGCTGGTAAAGGATGAGAGAGTGTGATGGGCTCCTTATAAACAGCTCCGAAGAAACGTTTTCCTGGGTACAGAATTTGTGAACTCAGGTCCCGAAACTCGAGCGTTTGTAAGTGCCATTTCCCAAGGCTTGGCAAGGGCTGAGTGCCACCATGCCCCGAGGACTTTGTTTGGAGTCAGCTCTTGGACAGGGTGTCCCCTTTGAGCACCAAGGGCTCTAAGATCTGAGGCCATGATGGATACCCAGCCCTGGACTGGCATCCCAAAGGAAAGGAAAGGGATTGCACCATGTTCATCATGGCTTTCTTCTGCTGTTTGTGCTGTTTCTGCTGTACCGTGCGCTGTACGTTCAGACACTGCATTGCATCAAAGATCTCCTGTACCCCAACCATACCTTGTCCTCCTGGTGGAAACAGCCTTCAAACCCCCAAGCTCATGAAATGCTCCCAAAGTAACAAGGCTTTGTAACTCCAGCCTAGCATCATTGAGCTAGCTAAGAGTAATTGGCCTGTGGGCACCATGTATGCCCTTAGCAGGCCAGATTGTCTGGTGTAGTGCAATATATCTCCATTTACTTGAGTGGAGATATGTTAGAAAGTATTTGTGCTCAACAAGATGAAAGTTCAGTCCAGGTTTATTGCTTTTGTGGGATGCTTTGACCCTTTGCTGGCTGCAGGGGAGCAGCTGGGCGAGGTAGCTCTGTCTGTTGGGGCTTGGGAGAGAAGGGAAAAGGTCTCTAGGCAGAGAAAGAGAAGAGGAAGGGCAGGAGAAGAGGGATGGATGGATGCTGTGCCAGCAGAAGGCAGAGCCCAAAGCAGGGGACAGGTTATGCTCTTTGAATCCCTTGATACTGAAAGGTCTTATTGCCATAGTGGTACTGCTAAACGTCTTGGACAACAGGGTCAATGGGGATTCAGGGGATGTCAGACATCAAAGTTTTTTGCTCTTCCTTGGCCAGCCTGATGTTTCTGGGAGGACTGGGGGTTGGTGGAGGTGGTTGTGGAAAGGAGGCTGCGTTCCTCTCTCCATTCTTCCCCAGCCCCCTCTGCAACGAAGGGTCCCTTCCCCAACAGCCCCTGGGTTTGAAGAGGTGAGTTCTGTGGAAAGACTGAGGCAAGAGTTAATGAAATTCTTATTTATAGTGATGTCATAAAAGCTTTTACGCATAAAGCTAAAAATACCTTTCCCTTGCTGCTGGGGTTGAGTCCAGGGTGAACTATTTAAGCATTCAGAAAATGGAGGTCAGATGATGTTTGATACATGAGAGAAATTGGATGCTGCAAGTATAGGGTAGCCTTTGCTATGGGTGCCCTGGAGAGGCTGTGGGTTGTTCACCACGTCCTGTTATGGCTACCATGTGCCAAAATCCATGGGAAATGCAAGGAAACTCCCAAATAGCAGGTGACTGTGAACTCCGCACAAGGATACTCTGAGGAGGAGAAAACACAAGCTACAAGGAAAGACTAGAAAAGCTGGCATTGTTCAGGCTATAGAAGGCTTCAGGGGAGACATCCAAATGTAAATACGTGAAATACGTGATAGAGGCAAAGTTTAAGCTGTTTGTTATATCTGCCGTGAACAGGGCATGAAGTTGTGTGCTTAAACTGTGCTACAGGAGACTAGACATTGGGGTAAAAAAACCCCCCAACTTCTAATAGCAAAGCTAATTAGGACTGGATTAGCCTGTCTTGGGAGCTGGTGGGGTCTCCATCGTTGGCAATTTTTATGAGGGGTAGACTAACGCCTAGATTTAACACCTGACATGCTGCTGTAGCCAGCCGGATGGAGCGGACAGTGTTTTGAGGTCTCTGTTATCTCTGTTTTCCTGTCAAATCCTGTGTGCTTACAGGTAAATATCTATGCGTGAGCCTCGTGCCCACATCAGGAACATCAGTAACAAATCTCGTGGTCCCCTGCCAGCAAAACTAATGGTTTTGGTCCAGTGTCCTGAATTCCTGTTGCTGAAGGAGACGGGCTGGGCAAGAAAGGATGCTGAGGTTTAGGGATCCTTGTAAGAGGTAACAAATACTGCAACCCTACAGCACACGACATCCTTCTGGTAAGAGCTCTGAAGGTTCAAATATATTCAAAAGACGTGGCTGGAGTAACTTGGTAGTTGCTGGGTTTATGCCAGGTGTACTTTAGGTTGGCTGATGAAGACAGCAGGATCAGCTGTCCCCTGCACCACTTGCCGGTGGCATAATGCCCACACCCCCTCACCTGTGCCCTGGGTAATTCAAGAGCAGGATCACCATCTTGCCACATGAGATTGGCATCAATTTTTTACTATGGAATGACCGGCTGGTGCCAGGATCTGATACTGCTGAGCTTCTAGGGATGGCTTAACCCAACTACATCCAGGAGTGTGTCGTTCCCTGTGACTGTCCTGGACGGGCAGACACGTGCTTGGGCACTGCTTAATTAGTTGTGGTCCAAACTGAAACCCCTCTTGTTTCGTTTCCATCCTCTCTCCTTGCACTCCAGCTGCCAATGGGCTGGGGCATTTGGAAAGGGTACCAGAGAGGCATCATTTCAGTTTTGTGTCTTATGTCTCTGTTTTGTTTGTGCTTTCTGCAAACTGACAGTTTTTGGGAAGTGTCCTTTTGAAAGGATTTATGCACCGATTTCTGCAAAGACACACTGGACTCTGAGTTATTTGCAAACAATTTATGTGTGCATTTCATCCGTGTATATAGTGCAGCAACTTATTAATTCTTGTTCTTAAATGACTGTTATTACATCAGATAAATCAGGGAAATTAGGAGTCCTAAGCTGGGACTTTGCAGCAGACATGCCTGGGTTCGGACGTGGCTGGCACGGACTCAAGGATATGTTGGCACTTTTTAATGCAACAGAAAAACATCTCTGGCTCTGTCTGTACTCTAAAGAAGTGCTGGATAACGGCGCTTCTTCGTATGCCCACACAGGACCTTTTTTTCTAAATCTTTCCTTGAGGTCTTGTTAGTGCCCTGCTGGGTGAGCCCCTCTTTGCTGGCACAAACACCCGGGTTATTTGCTTTGCTCTTAACTACATCAGTTGCAATTTGCCACCAAGTGCTTCGTTTAAAATCTGGATTATGAAGAGATGTCCCATGTGTGCATCTTTACAGCTACTCTTTCTACCCTTGAAAAGAACTGTGCCAAATAAAGCTATTTCAGTCAGGAAATAATTTTTTCTTAAGAGACTGGTCTCTGCAGTGCTGCAGTTTTGCCAGGATGAGAGAGCTGCGTACCTGGAGGGTTTTAGTCCCTTTCCTACACGAGCTAGTTAAACTGATAGCAGGTTGCAGACAGGTCACAGTGACGGTGAATTAATTCCCATGGCTAAGCCTAGGCTCGGGTTCATCTGACAGAATTTGAGAATCTGTGTGGAGTGCTTAAGTTAGTGATTTCATTTCCCAGAGCTCCCTGTACAGCCAAAAGGAGGGAGAGGTTCCCTCAGAGGTAATTCAGAACACAGAAGTTACAACCAGGAGCACCACTGGCTGCTGAGGGGATTAGGGGATTTACAATGACCACGCTTCTCTGTTAGACATCTCACTTAGGTGTATAAAATCAGGTGGGGTGTCCTCTGCACCTTTTCCTGCTCATCTCAGCATCCTCTTGAGATAACTTACTTTTTTTTTTTTTTTTTTTTCTGATACGAAAACCTTACCCAAAACGAAAGGAGGATTAGTCTCCCTATAAAACTTGCGGTCTTGTTTCAGGAGGAAGATGAGATAAAGCCACTCAGATGGAGGCCAGTTCCACCAGCCTCAAGAGGCTCAAGTTTGGGAAGCTGAAGGTGGTACGTCGGCGCCTCCTCCAGAGGTACGAGCATCAGCCCTTCATCTCCTGCCTGGCTGGTTTCTACAGCTGCCGGTGGAAGCGGGACCAGCGCAGAAGGACTGAGCCTGGGAAATGCTGCTGCAAGACGGTAAATTAGCTCAAAATCAGCACAGACATTGATTTCTGTGTAGGGACAGGTCAGTCCAAGCTGGGAAGTTATTGATGTTGTGGGCTAAAGGCATCTCTGCCCAACGTCATTTGGAGCCCCCCGAGATCTGTTGGGTTGTTAGATTTTGCTCTAAGTACTTCAAGTGTTGCTGTGATTCTGTGGCAAGCTCAGATGGTCTGTGCCACCACGCGGCTAACAAATGTGTGGTGGCAGGAGAAGACCTTGCACCAAACCTTCCCGGCCAGTGAAACACCTCAAAGTCATAGGATCAAATTAAAGAAGTAAAATTTGGGATGGGCATGCAGTAAGAATAGCAAAGAGGGCTTCTGCAGAGTGTAATTCCCTTGCATGAGAGGTGGTTAAAATCCTCTTCATTTGTGAAGTCGTGAGACCTGTTTTCCCTGAAAACACATACTGCAGAATATGCTTTTGAGGATGTTCTCCTGGTCACAGAGAACAAGGAGGGAAGTCCTCTCCATATCCACTTCAGGAGGTCCAACACCAAGCCACGTGTTCTAAGGACAGCCTAAAACCGTCTGCCATTTTCTCCGATTGCTTTGGGGTAGTCAAGGCTCTGACCACTTGTCCTTCCTCTCCCTCTCCAGCGGGAATGCGTGTTTTTCCCATTGCTTGTTGGAGCTTTCTGCTTTTCTCTGGTCTTTTTGTACATGTGGGGTGAAGCAAAAAATGACTACAATAACTTTGACTGGTAAGTCCCATCTTTTCCTCCTCTCCCACTCCTTGGGGAGGTCACTGGGGTGGCTGGGAACAGACGAGCACCCTCAGCAGCTGCAGCAGGGCACTTTAACCATGAGCCAAAGATTCGACTCCCGTAACTCTTGGTTACAGCATCCAAATGGAACATCCAGTGACTTCAGGGGTGCTGAGGGTCTGCCCTTTGCTTGGCTACAATTTTTAGGTGTAAGTGTGAATTTGGGAGAAAGTGGAGAATCATCATCACAAAAATTGTGGGGACTAAGCAGCTCTTTCCTTTCCTTCTCTGAGCGTTTTTTTTTTTTTTTCTTTCCCCCTGTTCCCTCTGAAGAAGGCATCAGAGGCATTGCACCAGCTACCTCGCTAAAAGAGAGTTGCATGTTCCCAAGCTTGAAAGTAAGAAATAACTGGCAGGGATTTATGCAAATCCTTTCCTTCTGCAGTATGTAGGCAACAATTATGCAAATCTGGCACTTAAAATTAAATTTAAATGGCTCAAATATTATGGGGAGGAAAGATGTAATAATGTTATTAATCCTTATTGAGCCTTTGGGTGAAAAGTACAGCTTCCCTCTCTCTCTCCTTGGACAATCCCGTTGCAGCTCTTCCAACTTTCTGGTGTTTTCTACTCCAAAACCTGACTCAAATCTCCTTTTTGCTGTGTTGCCCTACACAACCGCAGACAGACGAGGTGGGCTGTTGGCCTGAGCCATGTCATCTTGCTGTTTCCCCAGGCTGCCTTGTCTGCAGCAAGGTACTGGGTCTTACAGTCAGACTGGGAGCTCTCTGCAGCAAGGCCATCAATTTGGTCCTGTATTTTACCACCCCAGCACACTGGGGTATTATCTGGAGGTTAATAAGATCGTGGGTTTGGGGAAGGAGGCTCTTAACCACTTTTGCACGTTACAGGGTAGGCTATTCCTCCCTCCCTCTTTGTTTTATTGCTTTGAAAATAGCAAAATTTCAAGCAACAGGGCTGTTCTTCCCCTCTAGTCCATGTGCTAAACACAAACACTACTACAACATTTTATTGCTTTTTAGGTATAACTATGGGAACCTGGGCTTCTGGTTTCTCTGGTCTCTTGTCCTCCTGATTGTGGCTGCAATATTGTTCATCTACATCACACTGTTATTGGTAAGTAATGCTCTTTGTAAACTGACGATGATTTATAGTCCTGAAAAGTAAACATAGGGATGACTTTAACGTGTCAGACCAAAGCTCAGCCTATCCCCACGTATGAACCTTAGACAATGAATAGCTGGGGAAGATTGGGAACACAACGAGTGTTTATGGTACTTTCTCCCCATGTCCACCTGCAGATGACAAATTTCAGCTCGGAGGTCTCTAAGCCAGATGTAGTTTCTGTAATTTCTGTCAATGATTTCCCTTTGAATGTGTCCAGTCTCTCCTTGAACCCAAGGAAAGCCAAGCCAGCAGCGGCTGGATTTAGATTTAGGGGAAGCTAAAGATTGTCGCTTTGACAGCAGGGAAGTACGGGACTCTGAGTCACGTAGCGGTGGTGGTATGTTGTCAAAGCTGAGTTATTCCTCTAATCCTGAATTAAAAGGCTCATTAGAAGAAGGGGAACATTATCGCTGAAGCTGCCTTGACTCACTCTCCTTTGCTGGAGGGTTTCTCTCCAGGTGGAGACTACAGACATGGTCACAAAACCCTGCTGAAGTTCATGCCCAAAGAGTCACTGCTCCTGAAATCTTCACTTTTCCAAATTCTCTGAAATTTTCTCTAGACTTCTGATCTGCTGTCTGCTTTGGTTACAGGAAACATACCAAAAGCGAGTGTTTCCTAAAATTTCTACCTACTCGTCCTTTTCTCTGTCCTTTCCCTCATAGGGAACCCCCCAAATAAAGACAGATCTGCATCTGTGTTTCCACTTTCTGCATCCAGAGCTATAGGGTAAGAAATCACTTTAACTCCAGGGACCAGAGTCCACGTTCAATCTCATGCCTGCTCCAACCTTCATTTTGAAATGCCAGGTGCTGAGGGTGAAGTTATGGCTTTGACTCACCTCTGTGACCAAGACAACCAGCTTTTATAATTACCCATTCCCTGATATGTCGTCATATAGTCAGTCTGTAAATTGCTCATAGGAGGGAATCTCTTCTCGCTTTGTTTGTGCAGCGCCTAACACAATAGGTTTCTGGGGTCCTTTGTCCCTGCTGAAGTACAAATAAACAGTTATTTTATCCTAGTGCCAGCAATAAAAAACCAAAGTGATAAATAGAACAGCTGCTTGGCCATGCCCACAGCGATCAATAGCATCATAAAAGCTGTGGACTAACTGAGCCCTGAGTAGGACAAATAACGATATTTAATTACAAGGATGTTGTGACACCCTGATGGCTCTAGGGCTCAATGTCTGTTATTCAGCAAAGCCTGCCTGGCTTTCCCAGTGGCCATGGAGTCGTGTGGGTGGTTTGGTGGTCACAGTGCTACTTTGGGCAACTCAGAGCTTTGCCAGCAATGCCCATGTGCCATGGATACCTCTGAGACCGTACCTCAGCAGGCTCTGGATCTGGAGTCAACCTCAGGATCAGATTAACCCATCATAGCACATACTAGAAATGGACTTTGCAGGATTTCCTGGGCTTGAGGAGCCTGAAGACCCCTGGGGCTGGTGTGTCAGCCAACATTATCCAGTGTCCAAGCAGTGGACTTTCTTAGAATTTCATGTCTTTGGCAGCATGAATGTGATGACTACAAGCTATCGGGGCAGGTGATGGGCGAAGTAATGCCAGAAAGGGAGATGGAAAATATGAGGTGAAATTGGTGTCCTACATAGTTCAGTTCAGTCTTAGTCCCACCTTTCATTGTGTGGACACCTCCTCCTCCTCCTCCTCCTCTCAGCAGCTTGGTTCTGTCTAATGACAGGAGCGTTTGCCCCCCTCAGGAAGGTGAGCATGGATAAACCTGAAAGAATGCAAGTAGCCTGGATGCCAACAGAGAAGTCCTACCAAAGAAACACTTCAGAGGTTCCTTTGCTCTTGCGACGGCCCCCGTGGTGAGGTTCCCTTTGCTCCTTACTTTCACAAAGCTGTTAAGTAACCCACCCAAAGCTGTTGGGTATTTCTAAGAGCACTTGTCCTGCTTGATTGCATCACCACGTCACCGTGTCTCAGTTGGCAAGACCACTGCATGCATCTATGTTGAGCAGTGGGTGTTGGAAGGTATGAGACCCCACACCGTCAGGGCTGTTACCTAAATAGGATTGGGTCTTGAAGGAAAAGGGGGGGAGGAAAGTTATCACTGCCATCATTTGTGCTCCCACTATCTCAAAACAGGCGGGGTCACACGACGGTAACATGCTGGCATGCAGGGTGTTGTGATGACAACTGTGGCTTGGCAATGCTCATCCCAGCAGGGCTCCTTTCGGAGAAGGATCCTACCAGGAATCACCCCTCCATCGCTGTGTGCAGAACTTCCCTGTCACGGCATCTGGCCTTTCACTGTAGCCTTTGAACCACCCAGCAGAACTAGGAGCCTCACAGGCTAATAGGTGCAACTCAGCCCTTCCACGTCTAAATAAATCTACCAGTGTGGGTACCATACGATAGCTGGATTGCTCTAATACATTTCAGATGACTGATGGCCAAATAGACTGCTCCCATGATGAATTACATCCCATGTTCTGGTTGAACAGTGTTGGATGGAGACTACCCCCACACGTGTTGCAAGAAGGACTGGAGACGTTCACCCAGGCAGTATTTCCTTGTGATGTTTTGCATCAGCAGCCCATCACATCAGAAAACAGAGCACTCTGATGCACTTGTTGGAGCAGAAAGATTTTTATAGCGACCAGTGGCTGGGCTGGTTTTGTTTGTGAGCACCATACCCTCCTCCTTAATGATGGCACCCAAATGGAGCCTGCAAGCCTGCTTCCATGACCTTATTGTGAACCACTGAAGCAAACGTTCTTCTGCCCACCGGCCACCAGCAGCTGAACAAAATGCCGCACAAAAAAGCACTTGCTGTCTGTACAAAGACGCTCTCCGTCTGCATGCATCATTGTCATTTTTTCAGACAATCAGTTTCAATTAATTCAATTGTTATTGCTCTCCAAGACAATTTTCTCATCTCCATTAGAGCTAAAAGGTTAAGCTGAGGGGTCTAATTACACGACCATTCATGCTCAATGGAGAAGAAAAAACTTTTCTTGTTCAGTCTTTCAAAGACCATCAGGCAATATTTTCTTCTCTGCAGTTCAACCATGTTTGTTCCAAGGGTTTTGAGGAGGTGACTTGTGACTGTACAAAGTAAAGAGGTCCAGATGTGTGGTTGCCCCTCCATTTGTAGGCTAAGAGAGAACTCAAAACAGTACATTGTCACTGAAGTCCAAAAAATTATCTCAAACCTCCATCCCTAAGAGACTAGAGAACCAGACGAGTTCTGAGTTGCTGCATTTTTTGCCAGAAAGTGAATGTAAGGACCTCAATTTGGCTGTTGTGAACATCGAGGTGAGCAGATGTTCCAGGTGAGCTGAGTGTCGAAGCGCCTGCCTCTGTCTCCTTGTGGTGGTAGGTTCAGAGCCTGCCTAAGCCTCACCAGCAGTATTGAAATAAGGACGAAGTCATTCCCATGCTGAAGTAGTGTGGAGTTAAGTGTCTGTTGTCCATCCTTTTGCAGTGTAACCCTGTGGTCAGTGCACCCACTCGGAAATAGGGAGACAGAGGTGCAATCCTCCCTGCAGCGCATCCATCTCTCTTGCCACTGGGAAGCATTCCTTAATTACCACTTTGCAGGTAGTTGGTGGAGGGGAGACACTTCCACACCTCATATGAAGGAAGAGAAGAATGCAAGTGTTGGAGACTGTGAGATTCAGGGAGATGATGGAGCTGCCAAGAGGGACTTTGCCTGTAGCCTCAGCAATGCTAGACAGAAACATACAGGTCATCTAAGCCTAAATGTCTGTGTACTTGTATTAGACAATCCCAGGATATGTGTGGAAGCAGTTTGGAGGAGCCAGACCTGCTGGTGCTGGTTGTCCCTTTGCCTGGGGAAGTCCTGTTCCAGGTGCAAGCATGTGGGGCACTGCTAAAGGCAGCTGCTCTCTGTGGAAGAGCGTGTTGGACAGGCCCTGAGGGAGCTTTTGGAGAGCAGGATGAAGCCAGGTGATTGTGGCTTGAGATGTTAAGCTTCAGGGGTGCATATCACATCAGCTCACTGGTCCATCAAGATGTGATCTCCTACAGTGACCGGTGGTGCAACTGCAAGAGTTCCTGCTTCATCCTCTGAGGATGAAACCTGGTGGTTATTCTTCTTGTAAGTTGATAATGAGATGTTGTTTCCATCCATAAAAATGAGCTCACCCTCCAATGGCATTCCCAGATGTGATGCACCATTCATACAAAAGTTGTACTGCAGTTGCAGGGGAGAATCCAGTTGAGCATGGCCTGTGAAATAAGTGTTTGGCTGTACCTTAGGCAAGGACCAGGTCTCTGTATAACATTGCTTGCAGAAAAGGGGCAAAGTATCTTTTTTCTTCCTTTTTCTGAAATAGCTTAAGATCTTTAGAAGTAATTCAATTCTCTCTGAACTGCTCCCATGGTTACTCATCATGTACTGGGTGTAGGACTCAATTGAAGGAGGCTAACATGTCAAGAAGCACTTAAAAACTGATCTGTATTCTCTGCTGAGCTTAAATCTTGCTTCAAATCAGCATGATCCTGGAAGGAGACTGTGTTTCTAGCTGGATGGGAAACAGCTTACATTCCTTTGTAGTTGTGTTTTGGGAGAGAAGAGCATTTTCCCCTGAATCTATATGTCTTGTTTTCCTATAATCCTACTGTGCTACAGTCTGGAGGGATCTGCATCATAAATGATCCTTCTCAGTGGAGCACTGATGTCTACTAATGGATACTTTTCTCTAAACCCTGATATCTTGTGATACTGGTCCTCAAATTGTCTCTTGCAGTGGTTGGGAAGCTTGGCCCAGCACACAGATTCCTGGGCACAGACCAGTGCGTTTTCACAGCAGCACAGTACTTCTCTTGCTGAAATTCATCACCAGGTTCATCAGTTGCTTAGGTCTGGGACAACTCGGAGAAACTCTCCATCAGAGTCCCGGACTGGCTTTTATCATCCTTTGCTTCTTGGTGTTCAAAACTTCTCAGGTTGTCCCCTGCCCTCGCTGGGGTTTGTGCCATGCCTCACGGGAACCCTCCCCAAGGGCTCCAACTTGTCGTCGGAGGGAAGGAACGTGCCAGCCACCAAAACCTAGAGTCTTTTAACCTCCAAGGCAGTTTTCCCGGTTCTGAAATACACCTGTCTTTTGTGTTTCCTGCGATTACTGTGGAAGCATTGTCTCCTTTGCGTCTGCTCTGTATTTTCGTGGTGCTTTGGAGGCATTTTTTATACCCTGACCCCTCTCCCATGGTTGATATGCCTCTAATCACAACAAATGCACAGAAAATAGGCAAGGTTAGTGCTGTATTGGTTCATGCCGTAGCAGTTGACCCCGGCCATCATTCCTCTTTCAGAATTTGTACTTACAAAGAAAAGTCATTGAAAGTGTGTACCCCAAAGTGCCCAGTTATCTGTTACCTATGAAAGGGCTTTGATCCCCCAGGACAGCCTTGGTATGTGCTTGGCCATTTTAGAAGCATTTTTACTGTAGCAATGAACACTTCTCTCCATATACCTGTCCTGCGAACAGCCCTGACACTGTGCAGGAAGACTTAGTGTAAAGTGACTTCCCAATGCAAATATAATTCCAGAAATACCTCACTGAACACACTTCATCATCTTCTACCAGGATGCAAACAATCTCTTCTTGATTTCCCAGGTCCTAGCGATGTGTTTGCTTGCAGAAGGTCAGCAGCTGTACCTACACTGGAGTCACAAGGTGGGGAAGAGTCAGGGCTTTCTGGTAACTTTAATCCATGTTTTAAATCAATTGAGTTTGTGGGGTTTCTCTGCATGAAAAACATCTTACGTTATGGGAGAGAAGGAAGAGAGGGAGAGGTTAATCTTAGGAGAATTTCAATATCCATAAGAATGATATCTCCACCTGAGCTGATCACCTAAATTCCCTTTTGCAGTCAGTGGAGGGAAATGAACCCTCCGAGGATGCAATTAATCCCACTGGTCATAGACACCTAAATTAAGATGAGATGAATCACGCTTCAAGTACCTTTTTTCCCCACTGACTCTAAAAGGAGCCTGCAGTGACTCGTTCAGGTGAAGATGTCTATGTTTGACAGGTCTACATGTGGTAACATGAAGACAAAGGCAAAGTTTTCATGAGAAGCACAGCATAATTTTCTGTAGCAGACTCCAGCAGCAGTGAAAAATTGGCTGCTATCTCTGCAGAAGAGAAAGCTGGCTTTTCCAAGGCATCCTATTTAGTCTTTGGGTGGTTTGGGAAATGCCACCTGGAGTTTTGAAGGTGCAGAAACAGACTCTCAGAGAGTTGGTGCTGCAAAATAGTGCGTTAGAATCACCTTCCTTAAGAAATTCTTGAGGCTATGAGAGGCATTTAAAAAATGAACCTCTAGCCATGCCGTTTAGGGGAGAATGTAATACGATTGCAAATCTTGTAGTGGAAGGGAATAGCTGAACGTGCAGATACTTGATCCTCTGTTTCTTCATTTAACTAATGGAAACACAGTCATCTTTACTATTGAAAATTGGCTGCCAGAAGAACCAGAAAGATGTAGAAAAATTTGTAAAGAAAAAAAAAATTGAGACTGCATCCTTAGGTGAAAGAGATTAGGGATGTATTATTAAGACCTCCAGGATCCCTCTGAAGAATACTGAGGGTCTTGGTCCAATTTCTATTTGCACTTGGCTCTCAGCAGAGAGACGATGTACCAAGAAGAGCCTGCCATCACCACTGTGCTGCCATCATCAAGCTGAGCAAGAAGCCAAAGAATAGGCTGAGCTACCTCCTCACTTTTTTGGTTAAAAAGTGAACTCTCATCTCTTAACTATGGGAGTGTTTGCTGTTGTTGGAGCCTGTTGCAAAGCAGCTCGTAGCATAACGAAGCTGTGTTGCTGGGTCTTTTGGGTGGAATGCATCACTTCTGAATTTAGTCATCTGCAGGGTAGAGATCTAGTGTAAGCTGATCATCTAGGCTCCATCGACATCAACAGAGAGAGAGGCATCTTCCATCATAAAGCAAGAAGGAATGGATCATCTCTGGAAATTCCTCTCTTTCTCCAGTGATTATAGAGGAAGCCTGAGCCCTGGCTTAGTTGGGTACCCAGCTCTTAAGATCAGTCTTGCAGTACAAAAAACCCAAGCGATAGCACTGTTGGTTTGGTTTTAGTCTCATTGAATCTTTCTGTCTCTGAACTGGCATAGTCAAACTCATACGTCCTAAACTTATCAAGTCCAAGCTACTTAAACCTGTGAGTCAAATGGCTGGCTCACCCTGTGCAGAAATGCTGAGCCTGATTTATGTCTTCTTTGTCTCCCCAGATTGGGACTTTTCTTGTCCTGGGTTTCTCTATCACAGCCCTCTTCATATTATCGGTACTCTGGGGAGATCAATGGAAAACTGTCCGCCTGTCATTCCAGGTAAGAGGGGCTTGGAGGTCTGTTGGAAAGAGCAACTTGTTTATAGAAGTATTGTGTTGTAATTGGTAGAAAATACTCTGTATGGGGGGTGTTTTTCACATGGGCTTTCCTGGCAGGGTACGTAGTTTTGAGTCAACTTTTTTTATGACTTAACATTTCCTGCTGGGAGAAAGGAAGCCAAGACCTGAGGTTGAGTTTCAAGCTATCTGATGTAACATGTCTCAGTTTGGGAAGTCACATCCTTTTTTTTTTTTTTTTTTTTTTTTTTTTGAAAAAATTTTATCATTG